CTGCTGCTGGAGGAGGACGAGCAGCCGCTGGATAAGAAGAGCCTGGTGCCGGCCGTGTAGGCGGCCCCGGTGGAGGGGGCGGCGCCGGCCGGCGCTGCGGGCCCACCCCGCCGCCACGGGGTAGGGGCGGGTCACCCCCTCTTTGCTCCCGGCTGTGACCCCCGTGCGCTCGGAGGTTCTCAGCTCCCTCGGAAAGGTGGGGGGGAGGAGTTCAGGTTTGTTAATCCTTTTCCCAGACGTATACCCGGGAGGCACTGACCGTGATCGAGGGGAACCACGCTCATGTGGGAAGCTGAGGCTTAGAACACGAGTGGAATTTCTCACAGCGGCTGTTGTGGAGAAGAGAACCGGGGTGAAAAGAACACTTTATCTCGTGTTATCCCACAGCATTGAACTCTGCTTCCTCTGGAGCTGTGTATCACCTTTTTTCTCTTTTCAGCTTTCACCTTTCTCAACTGTCATGTAGGCTTCAGGAGCCATGGAGACTGACTAGTTCTTAGTAGTTGGTGTATGTTAGGAAGAAGAGTGGAGGAAGCTTGAAAGTTTTTGTCAGTGCTCCAATAAAAGTTGGTGATCTTTGAACAATGAATTGCCTTCGACACTTACTGCAGAACACTATTTGTATTTTTAATGATGGCCTTCGTTCACTCACATGGATGCTGATTTGAATTTCACATTTCCACACGAAATTGCAGCTATCAAATAAACTTATGATACACCAAATGATTGTCTGAAGTGTGAATTTTTAACAGGGACTGTTTCTGAAACTGCAGGTGAAGCATCCTTCAGGTCATTGGTGCACCTTCTCAAAGCCCAAAGAATTGGGTTTTTTTTATTACTGTACCTTCTTAATTATCTACTGTTTGGATGGAAATCAATTACTGTCCAGACCTAGAAAAATTAGCTAGAAAATTTGCTGGTTGAAAAAAAAACCTTATTAAGAACTGAGGCAGAGGTTTTGGTTTTGTAAACATTTCCTTATTTGTTATGTCATTTAAAAGCTGGCTTATGCCTTCAGGTTTGAGACTGGCTTCTTAGAGCTTTAAAAACCAAGTTCTGTTTCAGTTCAAGTTGAAAATAATGTGAAAAGGTGAATTTCCATCATTTTCTCTAAGTATCTGAGAATATAACTACTGAAAAGAGCCATTTCTTCACATGATGTTCAACATTACGCTCTAACCATAAATGCCTGTAGTGCTTGTTAAGTACGTGGATCTGCACCTTTGAATTCTCAAAAGGGAAAAACAATTTGGCACATTCTCCTTAATGAAAATGTGTGGGTGGTGATGTCTGGTTGTGGTGGTTGTTTTATAAGCTTAGGTATTCTCAGAAATACTTGCTAAATGCTCAAGATCTAAAGTATCTACAATACTATCAGGATTGTCTTGCTTTAATAGCAGCTTCCACTAACGTATGAATACCCAAATGATGGAAAGACTCAGTCAGAACAAGACAGGACTCTTAAGATACAATGCTAAAAATGTGTAGTTGTGTCAGGCATCCTTTTGAAAAGCTGCAGGTTAATGCATACAAAAGAGGAGAGTCCTGGACTACTCTTTTAACATTTTTGACATACATAAATTCACAGAGGCAAGCAGAACCAAAAATAATGTAGCCTTCCACTTCATTGCTAACAAAGAAGTAAAAGGTTACAACAGAACTATTTTCTTTTATTCCTTAAAGAAGTGTTCAGTCTAAGCTGTAGACTTTTTCTTACCCTTCTGTCCTGTGCACCATGTTAAGAAATTATAATGAAATACAAATTTTAAAAAATGTTATACGTATGCTATATTAAAAATGCATTTAAATCTTTTGGGGCCATGTGTAAATTTGATGACAATTACTTTAAAACATGAATGTGAAGAGAATGGCTCAGTGTCAGTGCTGTATTTTATATACATTATATTGCTCTTTTGGGACCTAATTTAAGTTTCATTAAATATTGCAGTCTGAAGGAGTCCTTTGTCCACAGTGCTCATCTCCTTGAATATGCTATAGTATTGTGGTGCTATAGCTGCCCACAGAGAATAATGAAATAAATTAAATGTCTTTGTATGATAAACTAACACCATTCAGAATAGTTTAATTTGGCTATTTTCCGACCAAGGCAATCATCCGTTTCTCTTCCACTTCCATCTATCTCACTGTGTTCAGTATCCCCTTTTGTATTTGTTCAGCTCAGTAAAGATATTTGCATGATCTAGAGAAAGCCTGTGTTCCAAAGTTTCAAGTGAGTTAAAACTGTGGTTTAAAGCTGGATTTTTAGTGTTCACTAATCAATGAGATCTTTCCTATATATTTTTAAGTGATAACTGGTATCTGCTTTGTAGTAGTGGGAAGTTCAGGTGTAGCTGCCCTTGAAACATTGTTCAGTAAAATATCCAAATTGCATTTACTGCCACATCACTTCCAAAATAAAACCCTGTATCATTCAGAGAATAATAGCAATATCTGATTAAAAAGCTCTTTTTAAAAAAGCTTGCAACCAGTATTATTTCATGACTCTCAAGGCTAGTCGTTTTCTCTTTGTGCTGCCAAAAGTCATTGTACAGTCAGAATGTAGTTGTAGCAGAAAAGAAGACAAAGGGAATTACATTTAGAGGACATAAAGAGGCTGATTTAGATACAGCTATATAGGAGAGGGACTAAGTAATAAATCTGGGAAGACGGCAAATTGGTTGGGTTATCCAGGGAAAGAGAACATTTTCAGAGAGAGAATTACTGTGGAAAGATGTGACCATCAAACAACAGCTAATGGAATTATATTAATATATATTGGTATATATTTAATTAATAAAAATATTGAATGCAAATTTAGATAAAGTAAAAGATTTGCACTGAGGAAAAATTCTACAGTGTCATGCACTGGTGTGACTTTGAAGTGAATACAAGCTTTGGAGAGCTGCTCTACTAACAGTCCTTAGCCCCTGCTGAGATTATTAGCAGTGGTGCTCATTAAGATTAATTTATTTCATGTGGAAATTTGTGAGGGCCAGAAGCGAGCATCTCCATTGTATAAGTGCTGCAGAATTTTAAATGACCTTAGGTGCTTCCCAGAGTTGTTTGCAATTTATCACCTAGATTAGTACAACTCTTTAACCACCCTGTGCGGTATTGGTTCATAATAGAGGAATGAGCTACATTCAGCCATCAGCATCCAAGTGCTGTGCTTTGACAAACTCACTTCCAAGTGCATGACCCACTCTAGTCTTGATTAGTGTGTAAGTGCTCAGGGCATAACCAGAGGTGAGGTGGTTGCAAAGTGATGACTGCCTACAGAAATTGTATAGCTTACCAAAATAACTGTGTTTGTTCATGAATTGTAAATACTTAGCTGTGTCTGGCTTTTTTCTTCCTAAGTTTGCAATAGTTTTCTTATTCCATGGTCAGAATCACGTCTCTGGGCATTCACTGTTTCTTCATGTTGAAGATAGTCAAACCATTCTGCTTAGCTATAGAAAGCCTCAGTCAATCCCAGCTGAACTTTTTATGATCTAAAATTTTGAATTTTACTATTTTCTTTCAGAAGTGATGGATTTATTATTTTTTTAATTATCCAAAATCTTGCTTTTACACTTTGAAGGAGTTTTGCTGCACTGCAGTGGTGAGGAAGAAACGTTTCAGGGTGGATGCTGTAAAATACTTTAAAATCAGAGTAGTGTACTTGAATGTTTTCCCAAAGACTTTGAAAGTGCATAAGATGAAAAAAAAAAAAAAACCCAAAAAAATCCAAAAAAAACAGTTTACAAAGAAATCTTATGGAAGATTTTGGTTTTCTTTGGGTTTATTTTTTTACTGATGTAAGAACTATCATTTCAGCAAGAGTTAAATATTGCGTTATTCTGCATGACAAACATGAGTGACTAGATCTATTGTAAGGCTCAGGCACATAAAAAGCACTGCTGATGCTCAGAATTTTAAATACAAGTTTTTTCATTATCTCAAGCAAACCCAGAAGGCTCTCTTCTTATCGGAGACAGGTTTTGCCTATTTTACTTTTCCAGTCTCTGATTATTGTGAAAGAAGCAGCTGCAAAACCAGTGTAAAAATTAAATTTGACCCTATGACCCTGAGTCTTGTATTACAGTGCTGAAAAGGGCACTAGCAATTGGAAGAACGTGCATGAAAAGCTGCTCATCTCCTGGATTTGCATAGGTGTGCTTGGATAAATTTTAATAGTCTTTGGCTTGGAGGACATGCAGACAGGGGACGAAGAAGGAGGCTTCAGGTGTCAGTCAGTGTTGTTGCTGGTCTTGTCTTGATACCAGAGAAGCTTTTTTTTCTATTATGCTTGACTGAATTTTATTTCAGCTTTTAGCTGAAGAAGCTTTTGTGCCCTAGGTAGATGTTTCTCCATCTCCTCTGTAGCTTCTGCTCAGAGCAAAATGAAGAATCTTGGAATATCTGTCTCCAGCCTCTTAAAAGACTATAAGAAAGGTTTGAAAGAGACTGAATATATCTGGTTAAAGAGCAGATGGGAGCATTGCTGACCATATGGGCAAGAAGCCCTTGTTGCACTGAAGATTTTCATGCAAATGATGCTAAGAAAAATGCTAGACTCCACTAAAATGGTAGAGGAAAAACAGTTGCAGTGTTGCAGCAAAGTTGCATGCAAGCTTTTCCTTTCCTGAGGAAAAACTCATAAGGACTGAGATACATGCATCTGGCAGTCTAGCCCCCAAAACCATACATTTTTTTTCTGTCTCCACTCAGCCCTTATATGAATCCTTGGGTGAGAGACAGGGCAGCAAGTGCCATCTTACAAGTCTGCTTCTCCAGTGGTTTTAGGTTGGTTAACATTTACTAACTTTTTATATAGTTTTTTTGTGCTTTTTATGAGCTATCTGTAAATGTTGTTTCCATTCCATCCCAGTAAATTATGAAGGCTTTGTCTCTGGCCTAAGCATCCTGAGAAAGTGCACACAAGTATAAGGTGGGGTCTCTGACCCAGTAGCATAGGTGCTATTCTTACCACTCTTCTGCAATTTTTCTTTTTTTTGTTCCCCCACCCAGAGCCTTACCCATCTCTACCACACAGCACCATCTTGGCTTTTCTATTACAGATCTCTAGAGCAGATTCTGATGTACCCTGGAATGCTTGGTTTTCAAGTGGATTGGCACAAAGAGTATTTTCAGCTGCATTCAGGACTTCATTTGAAGCTAAATTAATGCCTGCTCTCAGATGCAGGGAACCAGTGGATGCACTCAGCTCTCAAACTACAATTACATGATTTTTCTTTCTGTACTTTGTGCATTTAATTTTACCAGGAGCCAAAAGTTTTCCCTTTCTGCATGCCAAGCAGCACTGTAGTCTCAGAGAAACTGAGTACATCATTGTGTTAACCCATGCTTACTGCCAAATAGGATTGGAAGTCTTTATGTTTCCACACGTGTTAAGCTATTCTCAGCAGCTCATTCAGTACCAATTTACAAAGCAGTTCTAAGGCGTTAGACACAATGTAAAATATAGGCAAGTTGCTGTTTTATTAGGAAAACGCAGCTGAGGAGTCTCACACAACAACTTAAAGCTTAGAGAGCTTATTCAAGATGTGGCTTTAGTCCTTGGCATAAGGAAATTCCAACTCATTATCTCACTTTCTAAGAGCTTGCTTGGCTTTGACAGTGGGGAACTGTGTTTTACTGAGGCTCTTCTACGCAGAAAAACTGAATGCAATATCTCTGAGACAGAAAGGAAGCATTTTGCTGATCTGCCTAAGTGATTA